ACAAAGTATTCTTCTGTGGTTCCATCATAATCTCCTTCGCTGGCCCTCATAGTGATTGGAATTCGTGTGTCTGCCTGCTACATTGTTGGCTCTTCTGTAAGCTTTCCTGATGGGCTCTATTCAATCACCTCGCTGACAGATATCTAGTCTTGTAACACTATTGCATCTTCGGTATCACTTTATTTTTCTTTTGGCTACCTCGCTTTAATACCCTTCGACTTTGCTCGACTCCAGCGTTCGCGTTCTCTTCGACATTAGCAACCGCTGATCTGATCTTTCGATTCTTCGGCCTCCTATTCGGTCACCTACGCTTTTTAATCTCGCCGACATGAACCATCTCGGACGGATGATCTGTACCACCAAAAGTGCTTTCTTGTTTTGAGGATTTCTTTTGTTTCAGGCGTTCGGCATAGACGGGAAGGATATTACATGGGATACATGGGTTGATACCATAGAACTGACGGCCTCGCGGCCAATATTTTTTTTTTTTTTCTCTTTTCATAACTTTCTTTCCTTTGTCTCGACATCGATATTAGCATTGTGGAGCTTTCTGAATTCTATTTTGCCTAATGTACTATATTGACAGCACGTTGAGAATAGACGCAAGTGTGCCTTGTGCCTCTGAAATCTGGATATTCCACATGTACCTTTGTCGAAATTTGGTAGTTAACCTTGACCGAGTCACCATACCTTGAACTTTGATCTATTTGTTCCTGAGTAAGGCATATTAACGGGAGCATGCAGACTAATTCGCCCGATTGACGGTTGCCATGCTTTATCTCAGCCTGCTAGTGGATCGTAGGACCCTGGTCGGAAGTCAAGGTGTTCGTCGTGCATGTGCTTCATCCCTTGGGCAGCTACATTATGGATATATCTGGTTCTGGGCGAATCATGCGGTGCAACGTTGGCATTGGAGATGACTGAAGATGACTGAACGCCATGCCACAATTACTTACCTGACTAGCCATAGACCTGTTTGTGGGCAATGACATGTTCATTCTTTTGGCCTGTCGGTACGGGAAGATAGTTGTTTATACTAATCCGGTACATAGATGGACACCTGAATACCTAAGGTACCTTGGCTTGGGCAGGCTGGATCGGTATCTTGCAGCCAATTATATTGGACTCCGCTGTCTCCCATTGTTCAGTGCATGTCTATTCTGACTGCATTTACCCCCACTAGGTAGATGAGCTGTACATCTCTAAGATTTCAGGGAACAGAGAGCTACGCCAATTAGTCGCGATGACTCCCTCGAGAATGAGCCTACATTTCCACTACGACTGATCTAATTATCTAGTTGATTTGTGAATCATCAACCTGAGGCGGAAACATCCCGTGACTGCTGATGCCAGTGGAAACTGACGCTAAACCAGCTTCGGCAGCCTCATCTCCATAGGTCATCGCTGGCGACTACGCCTCACTGGATACATGCCTGCCCACCTAGGTAGTAATCACCTATCAATCTATCTACTTGTCTGTGACAACTTTTACAACTGTCACCGCTAGTTCTACGACTTCTTTATCCTTATCAAACAGCTTTGTCAGGATCGGATTCCCTGCAATACAGCCTGCGTACTTTAGGCAATCTTGACTTGATTTACTACCCTGGTCCTCCGCGCTGCCGACCATACCGCCTAACGCGAGCTGACATTCTTCGCTCAGCGTTTGATAGCCGGTGTCCGTGTGTGAAGTACCTGCAAGAAGACCTGATCACATAAAGTTGGGCTCGCCGGCCATGTCTGACTCAACGAGCGCCAACGCCCCCAAGCCGAGTAGCAGCGTCAAGCTCGTGCTGCTGGGAGAAGCCGCTGTTGGAAAGGTACGGCGTCCCGGCATGGACTTTCCTTCCTACCCGTTTTCCATTCGTTTCCGTCGTACACAGGTAACCAAATGTGTCTGACGTTTTACTGAATTGCCCGGTTTCATAGTCATCACTCGTCTTGCGATTTGTCAACAACGATTTTCAGGAGAATAAAGAGCCTACCATTGGAGGTAAGTTAGCCGGCTGAATTATTGCGACGGAAACCTTTTGCCGGATGCTGACGAGTTACTTCTTTGGAATTAAGCCGCCTTCCTGACGCAGAAATGTTCGCTGCCTACCCGCACCATCAAGTTCGAAATTTGGGACACAGCCGGCCAGGAACGCTTCGCCTCGCTCGCCCCGATGTACTACCGTAACGCCCAGGCGGCGCTGGTAGTCTACGATGTCACAAAACCATCCTCCCTCACCAAGGCGAAACACTGGGTTGCCGAGCTTCAACGTCAAGCAAGCCCTGGGATCGTGATTGCCCTTGTTGGCAATAAGCTGGACCTCACGAGTGATGGCGGGGAGGCAGCTGAGCAACCACAAACCAATGACGAGCACGAATCATCTGGCGCTGAAGGCGAGGACGCTACCGGCGACAACCATGAGGAGCAGGGAATTACCCCGGGAGATGCCCGGAAGGTCTCGACACGGGAGGCTAGTGCCTATGCGGAGGAAGAGAGCCTTTTGTTCTTCGAGACTAGTGCCAAGACCGGCACCAATGTCGCAGAGGTCTTTACTGCGATTGCCAATGCTATTCCTGAAAGCAGCTTGAAGAGTGGACGAGGTGCCGGTGCGGGAACCGGTCAAACTGCCCTGGGTGCTGGACGTCCCGCAGACGATACGAGAGTCAATCTTGGAGATCGAGCCGCTGCTACAGCCAAGGAAGGCTGCGCCTGTTAAATTGATTCTTCTCTGTCAGCATTTCCTTCTTTCCCTAAATACGCATATCATGCTGTAAGCGCCATAGCTTTCAGTTCAGAGATTAGTGCGATCTTGAAGCAGGATCGGCCTGATTCAAATGCATGCAACCTGTCGTAATAGTTCAAGGCGTGTTCTTTTATTTCCCGCATTACTCTGTGACTGCTTGGAATTCTTTCTCTTTTGTACTCTTGTTCATCTCCCGAATGTCTTGCGACTGTGACTTTCTATTGATCCCCAGTGTGTTTGAGCCAGTGTGAACCTGATTCTTGAACGTTGTATTTTCTAGTCGAATGTGGATATTATGACAGTCCACTTGTCGAGCTGTAAAATTGAATCCTTAAAAGAAACCTACTATGCCAACTCTATGTACAAGACTAACAAGAAGTCCTACATAGTATGCAGATGTTAGTGCCTCAGGCGTAAAGGGCGAAGAAAGTCACGGGATGAGCGATCCCCTAAGGGGGCAGAGGCTAACCCCACAACGGCAAAGCGCAATACCGCTAAGCGAGGCGCCGAGACTCCGATCCCACACCAGCACGACCGAGCGCAAATTGTAGGGTAGGAACTCCGTCCTGAACCTCGATTATTTTCCCCTTCGACGACCAACTCCCCTCGCGACAAGGAAAGCAGCACCAGCAGTACAGCCAGCTACCCGTCGCTCGTCTGCAATCATGGCTGCTATCAACAAGATCGCCCACAACTCGCCATCGAGGCAGAACCCCTCCGAGCTGGAGACTGCGATCGCCGGCGCTCTCTTCGACTTGGAGAGCAACACACAGGACCTGAAGGCCACCCTTCGGCCCCTGCAGTTTGTCTCTGCCCGTGAGGTAAGACTCGCCTGATTACTTTGTCTTCCAGTCCGCATGAGTCCAGTGTCAATTACACCGCAATTGTTCTTTCGAAGCGAGGAATTGGGAAAACAATGAATATTCGACGGGTGTGGTATATCTATATGCTTGATGGGATTGTGTGCGGAGATTGCTCTGTGCGCACATGCTTGTTCCAATGGCAGATTTTGCAACTTTTTTTTTGCAGTCTGGGGAATAGGAAAGACTATGTGGAAGGGTGATACGGGTGTGATGGACACTGGACTCTACGGGTTTTGTGCATACCTATTTTCTCAGGCCATCTAACACGGTACTACAGGTTGAGGTCGGCCACGGCAAGAAGGCCGTTATCATCTTCGTCCCCGTCCCTCTCCTCCAGGGCTTCCACAAGATCCAGCAGCGGTACGAAATGCCAAGCAGAAACCAGTATCACAGCAGGTGAACTGCAGAAACTGACACGCACAATTTGTATAGCCTGACCCGTGAGCTCGAGAAGAAGTTCTCCGACCGCCACGTCCTCTTCGTTGCTCAGCGCCGCATCCTGCCCCGCCCCAAGCGCTCTGTCAACTCCCGCACCAACCAGAAGCAGAAGCGTCCTCGCTCTCGCACCCTGACCGCTGTCCACGACGCCATCCTCAACGACCTCGTTTACCCCGTCGAGATCGTCGGCAAGCGTATCCGCACCAAGGAGGACGGCAGCAAGACTCTCAAGGTCGTCCTGGACGAGAAGGAGCGTGGTGGTGTTGACCACAGACTCGATGCCTACGGCGAGGTTTACCGCCGACTAACCGGCCGCTCTGTTGTCTTCGAGTTCCCCCAGAGCGGTGCCGCTGAGTACTAGATTTATTTATCCTTGTCAGAATCATGTGGTTTAGGTAAATAAAGCGAAGTGCACACGGAGGGGTCCTGGTGGGATTTCGTGTCGGGGGGCGGGTTCTCGCGAGAGAGAGAGACAGGAATGAGAAAAGGTTGACTTTTTATTTCCCACGCACAAAATATGCATTCTCATCATGGCCCTTCTGCGATGGGGTAGCTTGATCTGGTTCTCGGGTACAAGGATAAAGGTTCCTGAATGAAAGGATGCGATGTGATAATAAAAAAATCATGATCTACTGGTTCCAGGCTTTTCTTTCCGGCGTGGTTAAAAAGACTCTTATTTCTTCCATTCTTCTCCTGGTCCACTCCGCGTCCTTCTATAGAAACCCATGGCAAGGGCTTTGGTTCATGTTCAAACCTGGACCGCCTCCATGCTGTCGTAACTCAGTATCCAGCACTGCGCTTTCGAGTTGCCTTGCATAGTATGTGGTACAGGAAGCAAAGTATTTTACTATGAACACCTGAGCAGCTGTAGATCCTCCATATGTACTCAAATGATCAACACAAGGGGTATGTAAACTATCTACGGAGTATATAGATGTATCCACGTAACGAACAGCGTCGCCAACTATGCAAGTTCTGCCGTGATTCGGCCAACCCCCAACACCATCCAATACGCCAATTCTCGCTTGACCGTATCGGAGTTCTGCCCCTTCCCAGCAGCCTGCTCCATCTGATTCTCCGAGTCCCATTCCATACGGACAAAGACCGGGATCTCGAGGACGTCTTCGTCGGGCTGGAGCTGGTTTTTGGGATCCTTGGCCTGTCCGCTCCAGTCGAGGCTGGTATTGTTGTTATTGTTTTCCTTATTATCGTCGATACTGGGGCTGCTAGCCCCGTCTCCGTCGTCATCGCTATCGAGAGATTGCCGTCTGTGGGTCCCTAGACTGCCGCCTGGTAATGTCCCAGGGACAACTTCTAGGACTACGGTCGTCCAGTTCCGCCCCTTGTCCCAGACTTTGCCCGCTTCTGCGACTTTCTCGTACCCGAGGTTCATCCCGCCAGAGCGGGAGGAGCGCGAGTCTCCTCCTGTTGTGCCCTGCAGGGCTTCATCCCAGACGTCGCTGTTGGCTCCGATGTCGAACTGCGGGCAAAGGATTGTCACTTTTGTGGCTACGCGGCCTGGTGTTACTGAGGGTGTGGCGAGGGTTACCCGGACAGGGTCGAACATGTGGTTTTTGAGTGTCAGAAGGAGCTGGAAGGGTTTCAGCGGGGGGAGGGCGTCCAGGTTAGGAGTTGAACTGGATGTTGAAGGTGTTATTGCGGGGAGGCCCGTGGGTGGTCCCAGGGCTAGAGGTCGTAGAGTTGGTAAGGGTATGTAGCTGAGGGCAATTAGACGGATGCGAAACCGGGTGGACTGAGGTTTGAACTCGGGCTTGACGAGGATGTGCTTGCACGACTTGCAACGTTTCGAGCGCTTGGTTCGGAGTAATACTGGTAAAGGGAGAAGGTCTTCCACGAACCGAGCATCAGGGGACTGAAACATGCGCTGCTCGATCGACGCGAGGCCGTCCCAGCCACATACTTCCGAGGAAATCCGCTGGATGATGGAGTCTTCTGTGCCGGGAGCCGGGACCTTCAGACCCTCGCTGGCGGTCAGAGCTTCTCTCATGACTGGCGGCTTTGATTTAGGTTTCTTATTGGCGCTACCGTAGAGATTGCTGAGCCGTGATGAGGCCGCATAGAGAGACATTATACGGTTTAGAGCACCAGGTGAGGCAAAGCCAGGTCCAAAGTCAGTACCCAGAGGGTCTGTGGGCGATGTGGACGTGGCAGCTATCTGGTCTTTGTAGAACGCCTTGAGCGCGGAGAATCTCCCGGCCGAAGTCAAAGGAGCCGCAGACTCGGATGGCGTAGATTGACCATCTCTGCTTTCTCCTGGGGCCGGAAATTGATCGTCGATGGTGGAGTATGTGGACAGGGGAGACTTGAGCTCACCCATGGATTTGGACATCTGTCTACCCCGAGCGGTTGTGGTATCGGTCATCTTGGAAAGCTGTGCGCAGATGTTGGTGGGCTTGTCAAATTTGATTCCAATGTCCAGAGATGACCACATGCAATATGCGCACGAAAGCACCCAAGGTCCTTGTTGGCCTTCACTTCCCGTAACATTCTCGAGCGTGTTCACTGCAAGAGGCGCAGTGCATATGGGGCAATTGAAGCAGTTCCTGGCACATCTAACCGGAGCAAGCAGCTCTTCAGCGGGGAACTACTTGCGAAACAGAACCTAATGGTACCCACCTATTACCCTCACTTCGGACCATGCTGCTCGGCGTCTCGAACAGACAATTCGGACAATACCAGCACACAATCTCCTCTGTGATGCATCGCGGACACTTTATCTGATGGCAGTCCTCACAGTACAGCAGCTGTTCCGGGGGATACAGAGAGAAGTTGGAACGCGGAGCTCGAGGGTCGAATGTCTGCTCCTCCTCCTCTTCATCCTCTTCAGTATCCGCAGCTGTTGAAGGGTCTCCCTGTTCTGGCTTTTTGGTGGGAGACTCTCGCGATCTTCGTTTTCTGGAACGATCAGGAACAGGGGTATCCGCACATGGACAGGAGATATAGGTATAGGGAAAAGGGCGCGACATGATCAAGGCGGGTTTTCTTTCTCGGAGTAATCGATAATAGTAGTTGATTGACCGAGAGCGGAATGGTGTCTTATACGAAGTAATTGAACATAATACCAGGAGCACCTTGGTACAATATGAAGCCTACTCCTTTGATGATTAGCTGTCACTGTCGGTAGGCGATATGTATTCCACAGCGGGACAATCTCACAATTAAAGAGCATCACTTCAGGTGCGTATGGATTTTTCAATAAGTCACGTCAGCGAGACAATCTCCACCATCTGTGTTGTTCAATTCAGAGAAGAAACCCGGCGTGCGGGATAGAGATGTTTTTGTCGTATCGCGAAATTGCGGAGTTCTGAGCAACAAAAAAGTCGACGTCACCCGCCGACAGCTTAACGACTGTTCGATCGCATCAACATTACAGCACCCTCAATTGCATCTCGACTGAAGACATATTAGGTTTTGGAATGCCATAGTTTGAAATCTGACTATCAATTCATACACTCGCGATCACCATGTCACTCCGCTATATATTCCGTCGAGCGGTCCGATCACAGCCCTCGTTCACTGTAACGAGGAGCTACGCCAGCCAGACCCCCGGCAATCCAGTCATTGATGTGTTCAACCGAAAAGTCAAGCACCTTCAGAGAGATCGCGCAGCTCGGAATGTGGAGGAGAGCAGGAAAACAGACTACATCAAGGATGAGGTGGCTACACGGTTGTGTGAACGGCTACTGGCAAGCTCTTCTGCTCTAGTCCTTGGAGGATATGGCTAACCTTCTGCCCTGCAGGACATTAAACGAGATTTCCCCCATGTCCTGGACCTAGGCGCCAACAGCTGCAACATCGCTCGCGCCCTGACAACACCAAACCCGGACCCCAGCACCGAGACATCGCCGCCTCTAGCGGACAAGATCTCCAAACTCACCTGCATCGACACGTCCCACGCCCTCCTCTACCGGGACGCAGACGAGCCCTTCAACAAGGGCATAAATCTCGAGCGGCCGGTCGTCCCAGACCTCGAGACCCTGCCCTTCGCACCCAACACCTTCGACGCCGTCCTGTCCTCCCTTTCCATCCACTGGATTAACGACCTTCCCTCTCTCCTGGCCCAGGTGAACAGCATCCTCAAGCCGGACTGCCCCTTCATCGCAGCCATGTTCGGCGGTGACACACTATTCGAGCTCCGCACGTCGCTGCAGCTGGCGGACCTCGAGCGGCGAGGTGGTGTCAGCCCGCATGTATCCCCTCTGGCGGACGTCCGGGATGTCGGCGGGCTGCTGAACAAGGCCGGGTTCAAGATGTTGACAGTGGACGTCGAGGATATCGTGGTCGAGTTCCCGGATACGTTTGCGCTGATGCAGGATCTTCAGGCGATGGGGGAGAATAACGCCATTTTGCATCGGGAGCTGGGACCTATCTCGCGCGATGTGCTTCTGGCCAACGAGGCGATCTACCGGGAGCTGCATAAGGAGGAGGGGTCGAGGGGTATCCCCGCTACATTCCGGCTGATATACATGATCGGGTGGAAGGAAGGGGAAGGCCAGGCGCAACCGTTGCAGAGAGGCAGCGGGCAGGTTAATCTGAAGGATATCCTTGGAGGCGGTTCCTTCGATAGGCCATAATCATAAGGCGCTTGAGTGAACGGTCTCGAATGAATAAAAGATATGTATAACAGAAGCTGCGCAATCTAACAAGGATATCACCCATCCGCAACGCAGGAGAACCAAGCTCGACTTCTAAGAAGAGTAGCAAATAAACCTCTCGGTACATTTCTAACCTCTTAAACCGTCCTCCGATCCGTCATAACCCGGACAATCGACCCAGTCCCCGTAAGCTCAACCAACCTCTCATGCCAGCTCAGCAACACACTCATCTGCTGCGCGCTCCCGCCCTCACCCAGATTCCGGGCCTGAATCTGCGAGAACCCCGTGTTCTGCGGAGACACCGACTTCCGAGGCGACTGCGCCCCGCCACCAGGGGCCGGAGCAGCCATCCCCTTGTACCTAGTCACAGTCAGCACCGAATCTCCCTCCCGACAGTATTCATTGCCCGCAAGGCAAGGCAAGGCAAGGGCAACCTACAAATACTTCATCAGACAGTCCGCCCTCTCCGATCCGCCCTCCCCGCTACATACCCCCTCCAGCACGCGGGTCATCTCCCCCTGGCGGATCCCCTGCAGCACATCCACAACGGTAGCCATGTGCACCTCCTTGGCGCGATCGTCGCCTCCCAGCGGGGCCGTGTCGAGAACGTACCGCAGGGCGCCCTCAGGGTCGCCGCCGCGGAGCAGCTGGCGGACTTGGCTGGCGACGTTGGCGGCGTCGGAGGAGGTCTGCGAGGGTGGGAGCGTGGCGGGGAGGAGGGTCTCCATGGGGAAGTTGACCGAGGACTCGGGGTCAAGCACGTCGATGTTGATTGTGCGGTAGTTTAGCTGGGCCATGGCTGCTTTTGTTGTGATTTTGGATAGGGGTGGGTGTGTATGACGACAACGGAGATTCGAGAATACAACACGACAGTAAATCAGGGAATTGAGAACTGTTTTGCAGATTTAGTAATGTATTAGTCTGTTAGCGAGAAGCATTGAAGAACACATACCTTGTCTAAGGTTCAATGTCGGTTGAATGAAGCGGGGGGAGCTCCAGATGACGTGCGGTGATGTGAAGGGCGGGAGTGTGCTATCTTAGTGTGCCAATCAGACTGTTATTAGAGACAGTTGTTAGAGAATTGTTTATATGACAGTAAATTCAGGGAGGAAGAATTCAGCGTGACGGGACAGCTGAGAGACAGGTTGACTTGGACGCCTGCTGAGGATGGGCACAATGCGGCGGTGCGGAGAGGTGGATCTTGGAGCCTTAGGCAGAAACTCTACCCTTTACGTTGTCTGGGACTCTTCGCATTATTACTGACTCGAAAGATGGATGAAGTAAAGCCATTATCAATTCTTTCAAGGTGCAACCAGATGATGCCCATCTGCTAATTAACTATTGTACAATTTCTTCCACAAAGTCAGAGAACGCTCAAGCTAAACAGGCAGCCAACAACGCCAGCCATTTGCTCTCAACAAATGATGCAGACAAACGTAGAGCATGAGATCACAAAACGAATATGCCAGCCCATCGTTACAAAGTATATGCGTATGTATATATCTAGAGACCATCGTCAATCATGTAATGTTCAAGTAGACCCGCTCCAGCCAGAAGTGACTGGGAAACAAGCCGAGTGGTCGTATAGAATCATTAAGAGCTCGTAATCGTAATGGGAGGCACAACTACCGGTGTCGCAGGTGCCTTGGGCGTATGCTGCTTCTCCACGTCTGCCAAGGGCGCTTCCTCCTTCTCTGTCGCGGAGTCGTCCTCCGCATCCCGACGCAGGACACGACGGCTGAAGCGCCTGACAGACCGCATCAGGGACGAGACTGTTCTCGAAATGGCGCTGAAGGCCTTGCCAATCGGCCGCAATGCGGTGCCCACAACTAGGACGACGAAGTTGATGATAATCTCGACAGGCCGGTCGGGTGTCAATCGCAAGACCACTGCCCATGGCAGACAGGCAATGGCACAGACGATGCAAATACCCCATTGAACAGCGTCCAGGCGAGTCACATTAAAGGCTGCACCTCCGACGTAGATGATCATTACTTGACCCCCGACCATGATGCAGTTGATGCCGAGGAACCAGTAGTTCCGGAACATGCCTTCGAAGATATTCAACCTGTTGTCAAGTCTTCGGTTGTTGAACTCATTGAAAATTTGCATCCAAACGAAGGTGTTGAAAACGATAGTGTCGAGCTTCAACTGACGATTGTCGGTGCCGAGACGGCTTCCGAGAAGCTTGTCGCCAGCGAAGTAGAGCATAAAGGTGACGGCAAGCTGGTAGATGGCCTGTCCAATGATCATCTTCCACATAATCACAGTGAAAAGCGATGCACTCTTGGGGACGGGCTTGCGGTGGAGAATCTTTTCTGTCGGGGGGTCAGTTGCAAGTGCGAGGGCAGCAAAGGTGTCCATGATCAGGTTGACCCAGAGCAGCTGAACCGCACTCAGGACACTCGTATTGTCACTGCTGTAGAGCGACGAGACAAAGGTCAAGATGACAGCAGTAATGTTGACTGTGATCTGGAATTGGAGAAACTTTGACACGGCATCGTTGACAGCTCTGCCCCAGGCGATTGCCGTAACGATAGACTTGAAGTTGTCATCGAGGAGGATAATAGAGCTGGCCTCCTTGGCAACCTCCGTGCCTGCAATGCCCATTGAAAAACCGACATCAGCCGTCTTCAAGGCTGGTCCGTCGTTGGTGCCGTCGCCGGTGACAGCGACGGTTTCGCCCAGCTTCTTGAGCCGTGCCACCAAGATCCGTTTGTCTTCGGGCGAGGAACGGGCGAGAACTTGCAGGCGGGGAATGACCTCGTCCATCTCCTGGTCTGACAGCTGACGGAATTTGGGACCCTCCATGACAATGCCATCCTCTGTCTTGATTCCGCAGGATTGGGCGATAGCGGTGGCCGTTGCGATATTGTCACCAGTGACCATCTTCACCTGCACACCAGCAATACGGCAGTTTTGAATCGCAGCTGGCACCTCGGGTCTCAGGGGATCCTGGATACCCACAACACCAAGCCAAGTCATATCACGGAAGACGTCTTCGAACTTGGCAGCAGATGGGTCGTCTTCCACGCGTTGTGCATCCTTTGGAGGCCAGCTTGGGAAGTCCCGGTACACGAGACCGATGGTGCGCAGGGACTTCACAGCATAAGACTCAATCGTATCAAGCATCTTCTGGCGGTCTGTCTCGGTGAACATGTCGACCATAACACCATCCGAAGACGTACTAAGATCGGAGACCTTCGAGGAGCATGCGCCGACCATGATCTCGGCGGCCCCTTTGACCAGGAGACGATAGCCTGCCGTGGGCTCACGGTAGACCACACCCATACACTTGCGGGCGGAGTCGAAGGGGATCAGCTGGACAATTTCCGCAGAGCCACGTTCGGTAGTCACGTCCATGCCGAGATAGTCTCTCGTCATTTGCAGCATTGCCACCTCGGTCTTACTTCCGATAAACTCTCTGGACCCTTCCTTCTCTTCCTCGAACGCGGTGGAATTCAACGCAATGCTCTTGATGATCAGGTCGCGTACTGCAGTTGAGCATTGCTTGAAGATCCCGGCCACGGTCGTGGAGTCGCCTGACGGTTCGGCATCCTCCTTTCTGTCCTGACTGAAGCTCTTTTGGGTTCCAAAGGTCCCAGCGACGACAGTCATTTTGTTTTGCGTCAGAGTACCGGTCTTGTCGGAGCAGATAACAGTGGCATTGCCCATGGTCTCGCAGGCACGAAGGACACGGACGAGGTTGTTTTCCTTGACCATTCGCGTCGTGGCAAATGCAAGAGCTAGTGTTACGGCTAGGGGAAGGCCCTCTGAGGAGGATTAGTCAAACGCTGATTCATACTGAAGGGCTCTTTGAGCGTCTTACCGGGAATCGCCACAACAATGACCGTGACCGCAACGATAAGAATATCGACAAATTCCTTGCCTTTGACCGCAGGACTGGCAGGGTTATTCGACAGTTGGGCAACGAATCTGAAGAACAAGGCGAAGAACAAAATGATCGCAGCGCTAGTAAGGTTAGCATGAGTCCTGTATATTGAGCTGGTTATCCTACCTAGAGCCAAGCCATCCGATCCAGTTGGCAAGTCTTCCCAGCTTCACCTGAAGAGGAGTGGGATCATTCGACTCTTGCAGAGAGAGCAAGATACGGCCATAGGACGAGTACGGTCCAACACTGGTCACGAGGTAAGTCCCTACTCCTTCGAGGACCTTACTGCCTGAGATCATGAACGGGTCTAGTTTCTTCGTGGCGGTTCCGTTGACAATGCGCTGCCAAACCTCATGTCCATTGGTCTTCTTCATCGCGTCCGATTCTCCAGTGGCGGAGGACTCGTCACATTTTATTCCGTGACCAGAGATGAGAATACCGTCTGCAGGAACAGAGTCGCCGGGTTCCAAGTGGAGCACATCACCGACCGTGATATCGAAGATGGAGATCATAGCAACTTTGCCTGAGCGAATAGCCTTGACTTCCCGATCGCTATTCTGTGACATGGTTAGATCAAATAGACAAAGCGCGGAGATCATTCCACCTACCCTCTTATTCAACTTGGCAAACTGTCTCTCCTTTTGCCAGTCATTCACGGCAGTCACGACAGTTACAATCAGAATAGCCACGCAGATGGCGACACCTTCGATCCAGTCCACCCCATGCCCCTCATCGACTGTTTCGTAGATACCCAGGGACAGCGAGACGATAGCGGCTATTGTAAGCAGAATGATAATCTTGTCATTGTAAGCGAACCACAGCAGCTTCAGGAAACCAGTCGATTTCCGCGCAGGCAGCTTATTCTGGCTGAAAACGCGAATACGATCCTGGAATCTTGACCCGCCGCCTGATGCTGGTGCTGGTGCTGGTGCCGCCGGTGCGTCGTGTGAAATTTGTTTTGAGAGTTTCTGGTCGCTAGAAGTGGCTTCCTGAAAATCGACCGTACCGTCTAGGAGAGCTTCGTCCTCGGATAACCCAGACGCCAAGTCGGTCCGCAGACCTTTTTCCAGCCCGCGCAGTCCCCCGAGCGCCTGGAACGCAGCGAGCGACTTGGGATTGAGCATCTTGTTGAGCTGGCCCGGGGAGAAGGCGAACTTGTTGTTCTCGACCCGGAAATCCTGCTCATTGCGCGGATCCGGAGTCAGCGCCTCGGATAGAGGTACATCATCGTAGGCTTCTTTCGATATGGTGAATTCCGAGTTTGCCCGGGACCGTGCGACGGTGTCTGCATTTGAAGCGAATGATTCTGATCGGGGACGTAGTGTGTCCCCGTCTATCGAATTTGGCGTCCGAGGGTGATCATTCTGGACCGTCAGCCGATTTGAATCTACGGTTGATGGAATCTCCAGCGACAAAGCTGGCTGCTCTGATGACTGGGAAGAAGGACTCTGTCGCTTACTCATGGTTAGTATATCTCTCTCCTATTTAATGATGAAGCAGATCACATACCTCTCTATCTCGAGTATTAGCCTGAGGGCTTAGGAGGCCGTCCTCACGGCTTCCGTTTGGTGTCAGCATGATTAGACCGACACGCTTGCTATATTAGTAGAATAATTTGAAAAGGATAATTATCATCTATCAATATAGTAGGAGAAGGGGCAGAAGCAGAGGTAAGCGGTTTGGATGGGGTTTTATCAATCTTTGAGAGTGGCTGAGTCGGCCTTGGTAAGATGAAGGTATCATTTATCCAGAAACACCAAGAAAATCATTCGACGCCATTTCTGATTGGGGCAGGTGAAAAAGAATAAAACAGCATATTTATGACATTCTAAATAAACTAATCCAAAGGCTCGAAAGGATTTCTGTCTCCTCACTTGACCAGGTATCGGCGCTGTCGTGCACAATTTGCCCAAGAGCTTGGCTTCAGCACAGCCCTCCTTATCCTGCGGTGCGGAGCATTCCAAGACAATATTTAATAAGAGGAGGACTATCTGGGTCTCTACCTCCGAGAAAGATGAAATCATCAACTCCAAACCCGGGAACGCTCCATTTCATCCAAGGTCCAGACGAAACGGACGAGTAGGTCAACCCGTATAGACGCCAGGGGCTTCCTCAACCCACCCATACTCCGCAGCAATTGCAGGAGAATAGACCGTCAACGGCGCCTGAAAAACAATTCCCAAACGGAAGCCAAGCGCGAGGGGAACAAGGACAAGAGCGAGACCTCGCATATGACTGGTCCCCGAAGGCGCTCATATCAGTATGAACCAAAATTCAAACTGAGGCGGAATTGCACTTCACCCACTGCGCGCCAGATTGAGCAGTGCGCGATTATTGGAATAGCCAGTGAGCTTTGCCGCCTGCATAGACTCTGGAGCCGACGGTGCTGCGCCTCTCTTGGCCGATAGGCAAATCACAATAGACTTTTCTATTCGATCCGCGCGTACGGAAGAGGCATCTGGGTATGCGTATGTGGATGCGATAATCAGCACCTAGGACGGCATACCGCTCCGTCCAGTCATCCAGTCAGAGCTTTGTTGACTGAGAGGAAGGTCAACCGGGGTTTCCTCAGAAACCATGTGACTGTCAACTCAGTCGTGCTTGACAGGCAAGCCACAGGATGCTCTGCTGAGGACGCAGCCACATCTGGGGTGCTGCGCCACGTCTCAGAAGTTTCGAGTCTCTTCGAACTGTCGAGACTCCATTAATGAGAGTCAGGAACCCGCGTGGAGGCGAAATCTCGCGGTCTCAGCTGGAGCTTGCAATAATGGGACCAGGGGAAAGGTTGTGGCGCAGTTGTGGCGGTTGTGGCGAGTGGCCCTGGTCGTATTCTTTTCACGGTAGTTACCACGAGCGATGAGCCTCACTGAGACTAGGTGAGGCTTAGGATTTTGGTTTAAGCTTGTTGGATGGTTGACAAGGGTAATGGCAACTATGTAAGGAGAAAGGCAGTTGGAGGAATAACGATGGAAAAGAAGCGAAGCAGAAGGTCCCTTGACTGTAGGCAGCATCATTAAGGTATCATGGGGGTTGTATTGTATTGTCTTAAATTACAAAAAGGCACTGCGGTAGTACAATGTTCAGTATGTAACTTTTGTATGGGGATTACATACTCCTTCGACACCATGATCAGAGCACTTACTTCCCAGTCTAGGCATACAGAACTTCCATTATACACACCAGCTTAGGCAACTGCAGAGGCTTATTTGGGATCTTACCTGCTTGCTCGCCATGGAGCTTATTTGCAGCCTGTTCCTACAAAGACCTAGTGCCTTGGTCATCTCTCCATAGCCACAATCACCAGGTCTGTCCACGTAGTTTTACCGTCAGCAGGGTAAATGCATCATTCACTGAATGCTGTTTGGACGATACGATGGAACACAACTTGTTCTCTGTGGAGAGCTGCAACGACCGCTAGTCTATTCCTCCCAATCGAGTTCTCCCTCGTTCAACAACTCAGCATATCGGTTCCCCAGCCCACAAAAACACTCCCTGGACCGTCCCACCTCATCATCCTCCGCCTCCTTCCTGTCTAGCACTTCCTCCATGGCCCACGCAATCCTCTCAGCCCCCAGCCGTGCTCCTTCAAGGTTTGCCGCCCCAGGGCCGATACGCAGCGAAGCCAGCCTTCCTGTCACGAACAGAGGCACATCAGCCCGCCACATGAGATCGTCTGTGATGCACGGGAGCCCTTGCTTAGTCTCAATAGGGTAGTCGCGGTGCATTTGATTTAAGAGCGGCAGCTCCTGGACGTCGCACTTCATGCCTGTTGCGCAGTAGATGTAGTCGATTGGGGGGAGGTCCGGAATGGGAGGGTCTGTGGTGAGACGCCATGTCTGCGACGAGGGGCAGTACTCCTTGCTGCGGATGACGGTGCGCGTGTGGATAGAGACTCGGTTGCGGGCTGCGTGGTGCTTTACAATTTTCTGGTAGCGGGGAGTCATGCTGCCGCCGTTACGGGCTATTCTGATCATCTCGAGACGTTCTACTTGATGTTAGTGTCGATGCGTCAGGTGGGAAATAAGAGACAGACCTTCGTCGGTGTCTGCGCCCCAGAATGCTGCTTTCTCGAAGTTCCGGAACTTGCCCATCCAGGGCAGACTGATGTCGAAGTGTTTCACTACCTCTCGTTAGCAGGCACTCTAGAGTATCTTGACTAGATGTATCCGAGTTACCCTTGAGGTCTGACCGCATGAGAAACCACACCCTGGTAACTCCCTTTCGAACAGCCATGTCGACAATCTGTGCAGACGACAACCCTCCACCGACGACGACAACATTCGTCTCCTGTCTCTGCTGTATTTTTCTTTTCACATTAGGACTAGGAAATGTCTGGATCTCGCTGCTATGACAAGCACCCATCTTCTCCTCGGCAGACATTTCAAACGGGAAGACCTTCGTTTTACCCGGCCCGATAGCCAGCACCGCAGCGCGACTGTAAAACTTCCTCCCGTCACTGGCAGTCACTGTAAAGATCTTTTCAGCAGGCGAGATCTGCTCATGAAAGCCATAACGGATGTCATCGACCTCGTTCTGGAGAACCAGACCAGGTGCATCCAGCCCATACCGCTCAATGATACTGGCACAGTAGTCCGCAAACAGCCCCGTCGACGGCGAGAAGTAATCCTTCCGATCTCTTTCATCGATCTCCACCTCGCCAATCGCCCTGCAACGCTCTTAGCGACTCTCCCTAACACAGCAGCTAGTGAAAAACACTTACACAGGCTTCCCCCGCAACCTCTTCTTCTTCTTATGCTTGCTCACCTCCTTCCCCACACACCCCGGAATCTCCCACAGATCCTTCTCCCGCCCCGTCTCCTGTGTATACGCCAGCATCCCATCCCGGTCCGCAGGATCCACATGAAAGAACATCGGGCTACGCAGCTGCGCAATCTCAAGCGTCTTGAACGCCCGGTGCCACCGCTCCATCCACCCTGCAGCAGTCCCATCCAGCACCAGCATTGAGATTCCTCCCTTCCTGCCCATCGCCTGCATCTGCGTCTCCTGCCTATCGTCCACCGACGACGGACTCGAAGACAACGACGGCGGGGAGGAGAGCCATGCCCCCTCGGAGCTATCTGAGGCTGTAGATGAAGAACTTCTGCGTCGGCCCTGCCGCTGATGCTGCCGCTTGTCGTAGCTCTGCCACTTCTCCGCCTTGACGGCGTTGAGTTTCTTCCCGTGTGCCTGCACGAGCGTCATCCGTCCGCTATGCTTGTTGATCCAGTGGTAGCGCTGGTGTTCTTCGTCGGTGAACATGGCGGAGGGGGTTTGTTCTTTTAGTCTCGCGGCGACGGCAAGGCTGCAGGGTCCGGCGCCGATGATGATCACATCGTGGAGGGTGGGGAGCGGTAAGGAGGAGGAGGGAAGCTGCGTCTTGCTCATTGTGTCAGGTTGGTTTGTGTTAGTGTATGGTAGATGAATGTTGGTGAGGCGATGCTGCTTGTGACAAGATAGCAATGCAAGGGAATGCCATGGTTCTGGCTGCTATTCGCAGTACTTGATGATATATAGCCATGGTTTCTGCACCACCCAGGAGGTACTTGGATCCCAAGGTCCTTGTCTGATCTTCCTGGAGTTGATGATGTGCAGCGCTGCTGGGGACCCTGGGGGAGATAAGCGAGAGTTCTCAGCGGATCCAGGCATGATCGATCGGGAATGTGGGCACACAGACTCACTTACGAGCGTAGCTGTCGTTCAATGAGCTCGCGAAATTGATAATCTCGTTGGAATGATACCTTTGCTGGGTTGTGTCGTCGAGGGGGCAGTGTTGACCCGATTCGGGCTACTGTGCGCCAACCCGTGTGCTCAGTCTGCTCAAAAGTATCAGATAGAAATTAGATTACTATGACAGTAATGCCTAAATAAAAATATTTAAATCAGACACTACTTGGTCCATTTCTTTTGCTTCGATTCCCCCGCGGCACACCTCCACCCTCGCGGCGATGCCAGGCGTCTTGAGGCCACACCCATCCTCGAACTCGCTTCGCGTCTCGTCGCTCTCCAATCTGCGGTTCCGGAATCCATTTATCTTTCCCCTCTGGGAGAATCCGCTGGCGGGTCAGCGCTCCAGGTCCGCCCACGTTGAGGTGAGCAGAGGGCTGGGACGGCAAGGGCACCGATTTAGACAGCATCAGCAAGAAGTACAAGGCCAGGCTCGCAGTCATCGGGACGTTGAGAGCGTCTGCGAAACTTGATGTGTGGTCGTATTCTGCTGCAGCTGATTGACAGTCGTGAGAAGCCTCAGGTGACTGTGCCTGGGCAAAAGAAGCTGGCTGCAGCCCCAGTTCTTCCGGACTCACGGCGATGTTAGTCGGAATTGGCGCCGATACCTCCAGGAATCCAAAATACGGCACATCGTCCCCTTCGTCGCAGCCGGCCCGCACACAAACGAGTTCAATCTCGGTGATGATGAAACCGTACCGGCAGGAGTGCTCTCGCATGCATCGTTGTAGATGGGCTA